TGAGCGCCCGGCTACTTCTCCACAGACGAAGCCGGTCGACGCTTCCACTTGTGCCCCTTCTTCATCCGCGGCACAAGTGGTCACAGTTGCCCGGTCTATGAACAAGGGCTTTATCCCGCTGGATGACCGGTTGCTCTTGGAGGAGCTGTCGTACATGCAAAAAGCTCAAATCCATGAGCTACGCAACCTTATGCCCTATGGTTACCAATTGTCCTTCCGGGCAACGTGGAAGAATATTATTTCCCTCCACACCGGTACAACGATTGCTATCCCCTACCATTCCATTAAGGAGTTGGGTGAATTCTCCATTCATCCCTTCAAAATCCTCTTCCTCGAGACATATGGGGTCATGCCCGGGCAGTTAGCCCCCAATGGTCAACGTATGCTGAGCAGTTTCATCAACGTCTGTCGTTTTCTTCGTATCCCTCTTTCTCTTCGCCTTTTTAATCATATGTTCGATGTCCAGCTCGGGTCAAGGAAACCCTTAGTTTCGTGATTGTGTCCTCTTACCAGGGCCAGGCTTTTTTTTCTAGCCTTCCTCCTTCTAACAGGGATTGGAAGGATAAATATGTTTCTATGAAATTCCCCCCCCCCCCGGGTGCATTCCCTTTCGCCCAAAATGCCTGGAGAAAAACTTAAAGTCTTGGTCAAGCCCAGGGAGACTGATGACCTGGCCTCCTGGGAAGCCACCCTCCGGACCGGGGACACCTCCACCCGTGGTCCCTACAACGTTGGGAAGTGGGGGGTCTACCCGGGTCCGGAGACTGATCGTGAACTCGAGATTGTTCTGGGAGAGGTGATCCCAGACGCAATCCCCCTCCGCCGCGTCCAAGGGTCCAAAGCCCCGGTGTCTGCTACCACCGGTTCCTCGCGCCGGGGGAAGAAGAAGAAGAAAGGTCCCTCCCCACTTTTCTTCTAAATTTGCTTTATTCTATTTTTGCTCCAACTCTCTTTTACTAACCGATTTTGTTGTTGCAGTGGTGAAGTTCAACTCCAAGTTCTCCATCCCCCAAATCGTTGATGTGGAGGAGCCCTCCACCGCCCAGCCATACAGCTAGCCCTCCGGCCAGCAGCCTCAACTGAATGAACAGCCGGCTCAGAACCAGCAGGGCACTAGCCAACCGATCCACTCCGGGGAGATCTACATCAATGTAGATACCCTGGAGTTTGACAACATGCTGATGGAAACCGGCCACACATTGGAGGCCGGTCAGGGCGGCCAACAAGTGGAGGGAGGAAACGAAAGAGGTGGAGGACCCAGGCTGTAGACCAGTGTGCCGAGTCCTTTGATGCCGGCAAAGGGCAAGGCGGGCCCCGTTCTTTGGCCTTGATGGCCCGGTCAGACGAGGAGCTTTTCCAAGCTTTTTGCGCCGACCTGAACGAGGTAATCCCCTCATCCTTCTCATATCTCGTTTACAATATTTTTAGAACCATTCTTCTGAAATATTTTTATCCTTTTGAAGCAGGTCGGTCGAATCGACCAGGAATGGTTTACCCAGCTCGTCAAATCCAAAGACGAGGAGAAGGCCTGGCTGGAGGGCATGATGGTGGCCTGCCAAAAGGAGGCCAAAGGCGCCCATCAGAAAGTAGAGAAGACTGAAGAAAAGTTGCTGGAGCACAGCGCAGCTTTTCGCAAGCTCTACGCTAAGCACGAAGGGCTGCTGAATGTCTCCAAAGATACCGATGCTCAAGCTCAAGAGAAGATCCAAGAACTTGAGGGGGAGAAGGCCCAGCTGAAGGAGGAGGCCGCCCAGCTGACGGAAGAAGCTGCACGGTCAGCTCAAGAAATCACCCATCTGAAGGCGGAACTTGAAAGGGAGGGAAGTGAACGGGCTACCTATGCTGCAGCCTTGGCAGCCCAAGAGCCCGACCAGTTTGCTGCCTGGGTAATCCCCAACAGGGAGGTCAGCATACGATTCTTCCAAGGCCTCTACAAGCATGAAAAATCGGCCAAGGTCATCGATGAGATCGGGACCTTTGGTTACGAAAGCGGCCAATATCAAGAGCGTCGGGCGCTTTATGGCATCCTTCAGCGACGCATCCAAGGTTTTGAGCCTAAGGCCTTCTCCCTCCCCGAGCTTCACAATGAAGAGCTGGTTGCCACCTTCGAAGGGATTTAAACAGATGTGCTTCCCTCTCCCTTTTCTTTTTTTTGTTTCTGGATGTAATAATTTGGCTCCGGGAACTTTGTAAAAACCTTTCAATATTAATGAAGTTATATTTTCCATATTGTGTTGAGTGCTTGATGTAATGATAATTTACTTTCTCTCTCTCTTTTTTTGTTTGGATAAAAGCACCCGAATACTTTTACCCTTAAAATGTTTTGTTCAACTTTAAATTTTTTGCCAGGTAGGTTATTCAGAAACAGCCCGGCTGTAGCTACCCGGTCTAAAGAATTCACCCAAGTCTTTTCGAAAGACTGACTAGGTGACCATGGAGAGATGGAGTCCGACTGGTCTCTTCCCCTTAAAGTTTCGACCCAAGTGAGCAAGGTTCAAACACGTCCTTATCAAATGAAGGAAGGGTTTTTCCCCGGGTGCCAACGAAACCGGTTTAACTTCCACATGGGCTTTCTGCCCGTATTGAAGATGAACTTTTGCATTCTCGTCATTTGACCTAACCAAGCTGGGATTCTCTCCTTTTTTGGTTACGTCATTTGATGCCATGTCAGTACAGATGGTTTGACTAGCCTGGCTGTTTTTTTTATGGCCAATTCGATTGAACATCTAACCGGTCAGGTTGGTCTTGTAACCAATTCCTGACTCGTATTAAAAAGAATCTTTCTGAAAAGAACAAGTTTTATTTCATGATAGGGAACATATTACAACTATCTATAAAACTTGCGCAGGTGGTGCGAGTTCCAATGCCGATCAACTCGCCCACCCTCCATGGTCTAAAGCTGATAAGTACCCGGGCGGATAATCGCCCTAATGCGATATGGTCCTTCCTAGTTGCGCACCAGCTTGCCTCTCTCGTTGGGCTTACTAGCATCCCTTCTTCGTAAGACCTCGTCGTGCACCTGGAAATAATGTGGACCGACCCGTTTGTCATGATATCTCTTTACTCATTGCTGATACCCGGCCATTTTGACAACAGCCATTGTTCTTCTCTCTTCTACCAGATTCAACTCGGCCATGTGGTCAGCCTCATTCTGACCAGCTTCATACACGGCTTCTCTAAATGTTGGGAACTCTGCCTCGATTGTTAACCGGGCTTACATCCATAAGTGAGTACAAATGGTGTTTCCTCGGTTGCTCTCCTAGAGGTCACCCTGTGCGCCCAGATTATATGGGGCAACGCTTCCAACCATTTGCACCCTTCTTCGCCCAACCTTTTCTTCAGCCCATCCACTATTGTCCAGTTAGCATTTTCGACTTGGCCATTTTCTTGGGGGTATGCCACCGAAGCCTTGTTATGTTTGATCCCAAAATTGCCCAAATATGCCGTGAATCGGGGATTGCGAAACTGCGGGCCATTGTCCGTAACGATCATCTTTGGTTCTCCAAACCGAGTGATAATGTTCTTCCAGACGAATTTCTCACACTGGTGGACGGTTATGGTGGCCATTGCTTTGGCTTCCACCCACTTTGTGAAATAGTCTATGGCAACCATCACGATTTTCTTCCCACCTTGTGCAACTGGGAATGCTCCGATGATGTCAATCCCAAACCGGTCAAAGGGTATGACATTAGAGGTTGGTTGATAGTAGGTAGCCAGCCGGCCGGGATGTTTGTAATCGACTTGGCATGTCCTACACCTTTGCACATACCTTTCGCAATCTCGAACGGTGGTCGGCCAGTAATAGCCGAGCAAAATTATCCTTTGGGCCAGTGTACGGGACATCTGGTGGGCAGCACAAACTCCCTCGTGTACCTCGGCTATCACCCGTTCTGCCTCCGGGTTGGTGAAGCAGCGCAGCAAAGGTCCTCCGATAGCGCATTTGTATGAGTGGCCGTCCAAGACTTGAAACCGGGGGGCTCGTAAGAACACCTTCCTGGACCGCTCGTCGTCGTCCGGTTTCTTGCTAGTCATCAAGTATTCCATGAGATCGTACCTCCAGCCTTCATCCGCTTCAACCACCCCAACCGGCGAGTTCTGGCCCTGCTGGACAGCCGCGACTTCCAACCAGTCGGCACTTGGTTGGTCTAGTATCTCATTTTTTGCCAAATTTGATGAATGCTCCGGGAAGGCTTAGGTTAATTTGGAAAGCATGTCAGCATCGGTATTTTTTGACCAGGGTATCCTAGTCAGACGAAATTCTTCCAATTCTCTCAAAAGAGCTCGAATCAGATCACTATACGAGGCGAGGCGTTCTTCTTTGACCTCCATCTCTTCATTAACTTGCCCAACAACCAAGCTTGAATCAGATTGGATCTTCATTCTTTTGATACCAAGTGCCCGGGATAATCTGAGCCCTCCGACCAGTGCCTCGTACTCTGCCTCATTATTGATGAGATTGAAGTTAAACACCAAGGCATGGTAAATCTTGAATCCTTCAGGAGTAGTAAAAACTATCCCGGACCCACATCCCTTTAGCCCGGAAGCCCCGTCAATGGCCATGTCCCACCATGGTTCGACCGTATGGGATGGTCCTGAAAGGTAACCATGGTTGAACTATAGCTATAGATAGAAACTTATACCTTCTCCGTTAAAGCGGTAATAACGTTTGGATCGACGGAAGGCTTTGAATGAGCAAACGTAGCCGTTCAAGCGTCTGGCCTCCAACTTTGACACACGAACAATCTCCGGAGTCTACCCTAACACTTGTGCTAGCAAGTGTTAAAGTAGTAGATTAAATATAAAGATTATTTTAGGGATAATCTTAAGCTTGTATATTAAATACTAGAAAATATATCAATAATATTTTAAAGAAAATATTGTATCAATTTTCGTACGGTGTGCTCTCAACAGCTTTAGATGGTACGCGATTGAGTGTGTGTGCTGCTGTTAATAGTGCTTTGCCCCAAAAGGACTTCTGTAGTGTCGTCAGACTCATTATACTCCGAACCATATCGAGTAAGGTTTGGTTCCTCCTTTCTGAAACTCCATTTAATTGGGGTGTGCCGGAAGGAGTGAGCTGGGATAGAATCTCGTGCTCTCGTTGATAGTCATCAAACTCTAGAATCAAGTACTCACCTCCACGATCCTAACAGAGTGTCTTGATACTTTTGCCTAATTGTTTCTCTACTTCGTTTCTGAATTCTTTGAATTTGTCAAAGCATTCCGATTCGTGTTTTAAAAGATACACATATCCATACCGACTAAGATCGTCAGTAAATGTGACGAAGTATGAGAAACCACCTCTAGCTTCAGTGTTGATTGGGCCACACACATCAGAGTGTATGAGGCCTAATACATAACTCGCCCTTTCACCGTGACCGGTGAGTGGAGCCTTTGTCATTTTACCGAGTAAACAAGATTGGCATACATCATAATACTCGAGGTCAAATGAATCAAGTACGCGAGAGTGACGTAACTTAGATATGCGTTTCTTGTTAATGTGGCCCAAACGACAATGCCAAAGGTATGTGAGATTCAAACTGTTTGGTTTGCTTCTCTTAACATCTACATTATAAACAGTGGCGTCTAAGTCTAAGATATAAAGACCATTGGTCATCTTAGCAGTTGCATAGTAAATATCATTTCTGAAAACCGAAAGGCACTTGTCTTTGACGTTAATAGAAAATCCTGCTTTGTCAAGACAGGACACAGAAATGGTATTCCTGCTAATGGCAGGTACAAACAAGCAATTGTTTAAATGCAACAACAAGCCACTAGGGAGAGAGAACATATGTCCCTACATCCAGCGCATTGACAAGTGCTCCATTTCCGACCTTAAGCTGGACTTCTCCCTCAGCCAAATGTCTAACTTCATGCAGATTCTGCATAGAAGTACAGATGTGGGAACCACATTCAGGATCCATCACCCAAGAGCTGAAATCAGACAGGTTGACTTCGATAACGTAAATACCTAAGTTTTTGTTGGGAAACGAGGCTCCGATAATGCAGTGGAAAACAAAAATTTTATAGTCCAAAACTCGATTCCTCCCAAGAACAACTTACGTAAATTACTAGCTATAGTAAGAAATTTACCTTAACGGTGAAAACGGAGAACGGAGGAACGGTCGGGGATGGTTTTGAGGAGATGAACGTAGCGCCAAACGTATGAAGCCTCCAACGTATCCAAACGAACTTGCTCCGGAGTCCTAGATTAAACTTGTGCTGGCAAGTTTAATTTAGGATAGTAAAAACTATAATAATACTACTTTGGGAGTAATAAATATATAGTAAAATATTTATCTTATAAATATTTCTTTATAATATTTTGTGTATATTTCTAACACTTTAGAAAAATAACTTTGAACACAAAATAAGATTTTTCTTCTCTCTAAAAATGGGATGGCCGAAAATTCACACACATTAAATGGGGAGAGATATTCACACTATATAATACAATGTATTAAGAAAATGCTAGGAAATTGCTTAGGGACAAAAACAAAATGAGATTAGTGTAATGTCCCCAACCAACACAACAAGACAAGTATACTTTTTGTTAATCAAATATTTGATTATAAAATCAAATATATCATTAGGTGGAATATCAAAATATGTTTTGTATTTTTCCCCTTAGAATTTCGGCCATATTATATTAAAATACATTACATTTTATGTTTGCATCAATAATTATCATATAATTAAAATGATGAAAATAAAAGTAATATATATATATATATATATATATATATATATATATATATATATATATATATATATATATATATATATATATATATATATATATATATATATATATATATATATATATATATATATATATATATATATATATATATATATATATAACGGCGCTACATATATATATAAATAATAAAGTTTGTTTTGTCAAAATATAATTATCATATAATTAAAATGACACAAACAAAATATAATTTTTAAAATACATATGTATTTTCGAAATACATATATATATAAAATTATCACAACTATATATTTAATATTACTCCCACTAGTGTGTGACCCTTTAGGTATATACTGCTCCCTTACAAGTCCTAAGTGTGTGACCCTTTAGGTATCCATAACACTGGCAATGATATTAATATAAATTAATACCATAGATAATAAGCGGTATCTAGCAACACATTATTATCCCCAGATTATGAAAAAGACGTTCATCTCATCAATACCTTCTACGACACAAGACATTCTATAACTATTATCCTTCTGTCCTAAATGTCATGATTTAACACAAGGCATGGGATGTGTA